GGAAGACTACAAGAGTCCATTTAGTTCCTGAGCCTCTAGAAAGAGTACCCAATGTGACACCTGATCTCACTGAAGCTGTATTGCCTAGAAATGAAGCAGCCCAAATGCAAATGCCACCCTTGCAGGCCACAGCAAGTGCCCTCCCACCATTTGGCCGCCATGAAAGACTTCTAACATCTTTTTGGGAGTCATTGATCAAAACGCAAGGACTCCCTCCCTCAGAATCTTCATAATCACGTATTCTCACCTGATGTTGTCCGGAAATAAAGGCTAATATATGCTTGTGCTGGTGCCAATCAAGAACATGAAAATCAACATCTTGTAACAATTTTACATCAATGGGGTGAAAACAGTGCCTCAGCAAACTAGTAGAGACTGCCTGCAATGCTGCCCAAAGTAGGCCACTTTTCCTCTGATCGGCACCTTGTTCAGAGCTCAGTGTACTCAACAAATTTTCTGATTGAAAAGGAACTGGACTGAATATAATTCCAAGAACCTTGCCATAGGTTTCCTTAGCTGCATCATCAGAGAGTTCATCTGCAGTAATGAGGTCTCGATTGATTTCACAGATGGTAACTTCACCTGGTTGAGGAATTGACGGCATGTTTTTCAAGCAACAGAGAGAGAGACAGGGTTTATGGTTTCTATTTTGGGTTGATTTCTGTCAGCTCTTCACCTTCTCTAAACATGCCTTGCAAAAGGGACAACTGAAAAAAATTCATCAGAACTTTAAACACAAACACCATGCTAACTCAAAAGGCAGACCATAGAAACCCCAGAGATCAGGGTTAACCAATTAAAGAAAAAGATAAAGGAAGAAAAAAATCCAAGAGAAAAAGATTGAATGGACAAAGTATAAAGAAAAAAACAATGGAAGAGAACAATCCAAGAGAAAAAAATTGTATGGCCAAAGTATATCTTGCCAGCTATGTCGTGACCAAGAATGGGAATTATTTAGATGAAGGAGACTAGAGTGGTGGCCTTAGATCAATATAAATGGAGAAACATGGACAGTGAGGAAATAAACCTTACAATAAGGCACAACACAGAGAGCAGCTAACATCAGAACCAGGTTTACTGATCACACCAGCAGAAAGTATTAACATTAAGAAGCAGGGAACCAACAAAAGTCTACTGCACAGAAGCCTTCAGAGTTACAACAAAATATATAACAGAAGTCAAAGGAACAGACACTGAACCTTTTTACGCGATGGAACTTCTGAAAGTCACTCAAAGCTCTCAACAAACATTACTCAAAGATGAAGCTAAAAGAAATTATACCCAGATTCAAGAGACAATATACAAGAGTGAAGCCCCAACCTTATTCAACTATAGCAATCCAAATGCAGTGCACCATGACAAGGTATGTTATTATGCAATACACAAAATTACAGGACATACACTAGTTCCAAATGTCTCCAATGCTCAGTATGCTCTAGAGAGTTAGCTCATATGCCATCCTCAAGAATTTCAGAAGCCGGTCAAGTTAGTTCAGTTACTCCCGAAGAAAATACGCTTTAGTGGATTTATATGTGCTAAACCTAGAATTATATTGAAAACAATGGCACAGTCGATGACAATTTTCACTGTCTCAATTAGAGTTAAAAACAGATGATTGCAACAACCATGAGAAATTCATCCCATTATACATTAGGGGGAGTATGTAGGTAATTCACATATTGAGATGTATTGCAATTCAAAGGACAGGTATACACAATATATCAAAGCAGACTATATGTGTTCCATTAAACACACATCAGCACTTCCATATTACACCTTCAAGAAATTCTTAAGCTATTAACCGAAGATGCCCCGGAGAGTGTGAGGGCGAGTAGCTTGCCTTGACACAACAATAAAAATTGTCCTTTGACGACTTGTAGTCACGGATTTGAGGTGTGGATTAACCTATTTGTAGAAGTATGTATAAATTAACTCTACTTATACCCCCACATTATCTAAGATACCCAAACATGACTACAAGGTCTTCCTTCATTAAGAATGTATCAGACATGAAGGGATAGTACTAGAACAACACAATTCCAAGAAAACAGACACCTATTAAGCGCTGGCCAACTGATTAAACCCACAATGCAAAGTGCTGTGTATGGGTCTAGCTAGTATGCAATGAGCATTGATGCAAAACCTATTTGTAATCCAAAATACAAAGCAGAGTTGAAGTGAGCATTCCTGGTAATTCAAAAAACTGGAAAATACAAATAATGTAAACATTATGTATGCCTAAACACGAGGATAAAAGAGATATCACAAATAATGATCAGGATAAGAGGAACACCAAAAAAATAAAAATACATGAAACCTTAACTAAATTACAAACAGCTTATTGCACCTACCTGTGCTTTGTTCTTATTCAGTATTTTTAACTCAACAACTATTAAAACAAGTCTATAAACATCAATCTTGAAGGTAAATGCTCAAGAAATCTCACTCGGTTGTCAGCCTGAACAAATATTATTATTTTCTTAAATCAGAAACTTAAGATAATTGAAACAACTAATCAAGATAAAAGAGTTCATTAGCAGGATGTAATTTATACAATAATGTATCAACAAAATCAATAAGCCAAAAAGAATCTTCGACAACAACATACTGCATTGTATATTTGTATTTTGAATTGAAAAGATAAAAAGGAATTTCGAACCTTCAATAAGAAAACCAGCCAGCAATCAAGATAACCAAATGCTATAATTTTTTAGAACTGGTAAGTGGTTATGGCTGCGGCTAGGGTTTTATCTCTCTGTGAACTGACAAAAGAGCTTCTAACCCTGTTCTATTATATATAATAATAGTACTAATTGAAACGTGAAGACAGGAAGCGCATCTGGTGTAGTGGTATCATAGTACCCTCCCACGGTACTGACCGGGGTTCGATTCCCCGGATGCGCACATTCAAGATATATTTTGCTTTGTAGTTATATTTTTGGATAGTTACGGAAAAGAGTAAAATTTTGATTTTTTTTTTTTGTTTTGATATTATAGGTCACTAGTGTAATTGAGGTGTTTTGATGTACGTATGTTGATTTTTATATTTTTTCGGGCATTTACGAGAAAATTTTAAAATTTTGATATTTTTCTGACAATTACAAAAAAGAGTAAAATTTTGATATTTTTCTCATTTTGATATTTTGCACTTCTCATTTTTAACTTATTACTCGTAATTTTTAATATATTAATAAACGACAACTTTTTTGTTTTCTTCCCAAATCATTTTTCATGATCTTAATACTCAACATCAACTAATATGGGTATTATAATAAAATAACCATTTCAAATGTAATTGTATCTTACTATAACAAACATGATATATAGCCACAAAATTATTAGGCATGGCACATAATTCGTCACTAGTATTCACTTTTTGTGACAAAAATTATATTTCGTATTAAAACCTATGAACCACACTTTTAATGACAAAACATAAAAATTTGTGGCAAAATTTCGTCCAGTTGAGTTTCCCACCAAAATATAATCTGACGTCATTTATTAAGTACCATTAGCGATGAATTTTAATTTATCAGTGACAAATTATTTTGTCACTAATAATGTATCCAATTTTGACAAATTATTATTTGTCTAAACATTAGTTACAGTTTTGGACACAAAGCCTTTGTCACAAAAAAAAAAAGAATTTATTAAAATAGAGACAAAAGTTCGTCATTGAATATTGTAAGATTAAGCCACAAAATTTTATGTTTAATTGTAACCTTATTTTTTGTCACTAATACTCTAAGCAATCATTGATTATAATTTTATGACTCTAATCAATGTGTGATATAGTGACAAAATGCTTTTGTTCTTCTTATATATGCAATGTTTAAATAATCTTTGGCTATGCTTGTTTATGATTACATGCGGCAAATAAAGTATAATAATTTCAAAGTTAAATATAAGAATTTCTCTCTATTATACCCTCAATTTATATAACATTGAGTAATTGTCTTTGAAAAATTTATTGAGTAAATAGGTTCAAGATTCTACTAATTAAAAATGGTGAAATGATAAATTCACTATATCGATCATTATTTTTCTTAATAGGCGTGTCAAGTCAAAAGTTGACAAGTAAAAAATGAACGAAAAGAGTATTTTCTAATAACTCTCACTAAATTAGTAGTTATTTCATATTTCTTGGGCTCACACAAATTTTTTTTAATTAAAACACTATTTAAAATTTACAATATTGTTAATATTTGTATATATTTGTTTTAGCTTAATGAGTCATTTACAATATACAACTATAGATCTTATCTTAGAAAAGATTTTCTACCACATAAATATGAATAAATTGTTTTAGTTAAAAGTTTTAAATTAATTTAATAAACACCACTTAAAATTTACGATGTTATAATATTTATATAAAACTTATTTATATTTATAAAAAAATCTAAAATTATATAATTAAACTACTTAAAATTAAATAATAACTTCGTGAACAAATATTGGATTCATGCAAAGCATGATGTATTGCTGCTAGTAGTATATAAAACTATATGAGCACACATGTCAAAGTCAACATGCTTTGTGGGATATCAATTAAATTGAATGTCGTTTTTTTCATTTGATTATGAAAGTATTAAATTGGATTTCTAATAATTTTATATATTTTAAAATTGCGTAAAAATTATTATAAATTACAATAATTTAAAATCTAAAATAATTTGAAAAACTATATAGAAAGTTTATGTTATTCCCCTTGTCCAATTTATTTGACACTAATAAAAATATCATAGTCAATTTAATCTTTTATATGTCTTTTAATTTTTAATTATTGTGATTGTTGCCACCGAATTTTGATCGACCTATAACTCTTTTCGAAATACCATTTAATTATATACTTTAATATTTGTAATTTTCAAAATTATTATTAATTTCGATTTAAAGTTTTAATCGATTTTGCCTAGAAGTTGCGTATTTTAATATTCATAATTTATACAAATTATTGCAATTAAAGTCGAAATAATTATCTTACTCAATGTTTTTAAAAATTTAAGTGTGTTTAATTATATGAAAAATATTTTAATATGTGTAGTATTTAATTTATTGAATAGCATTTTCTTAATTTTTCTCCAATAATTTTTAACCTATTCTATTCAAATTCATTTCAATTTTAGTCATTTCAATTCAAATTTTCATTTCAATTATAACCATTGTTGATTTCAATTATACCCTATTCTTATTCCTATTATCAACTCCAAATTATGATTTAATCTGAATCGTTCATCCTTTAAGTTAAATCTAAGATCACATCGTAAGCGGTCATTCAAATATCTTCAATGGCTGAGATCGAAACCCTCTACCTTCCTTTTTTAATACACAAAAAGCCTTTCGTCGTAATTTTTTTTCCCAGATAAAATGAACTATCATAAATACTGACTTTTTGATGAGGATATTAAATAAATAAATAAATAATATAATATAATATTTTTTTCTCAATTAAATATCAAAAACAAAATTGAGAGATATTTTGAATGAATTTTATTTAAATCGTCTTCCGAAGGACGATTTTGTGTAAATAACAAAATCTTTGATTAAGAAATACGTTGAGTAATTATAAGGTCCTCGAGTAGTTTAACAAATCATATATTATATATTAGTGTTTTCAGATATGAAATACATTATCAATTAAAGAAATATCGATGATCAATTTAAGGAGATTTAGATATAAAAATTGATATTGATAAACTCTTGTTGATCCACTATAAAAAAAAATACAATGTTAGAGACAAATATCTAGCGACAACCATATTCATTGCTATCTACTAACGAATTAGCGATAAAATAATGTGTATGTTATTAAATATAAAAATAAAATTGATATTTACACTAGCGACAACAAGTCAAATTTATGGCTATCCTTTTAGCGCTAAAAATTGGCGCCTTCATTTTGCAACACAAATATTGACATAGGCATGAGATAATCTTCTATTGAATTTTAGCGATGGATGCAGTGATGATGTCTTTTGATACGCTCAAACTATACTTTCCTAAAAAAGTATAAGCGGTCGTATCAAATAAATAACTCAAATGTTAGGTTGGGGTTGATCCCCCGAGGAAAATGGTTTAAACTTAACTTTATTCTACGATTACTTCTATATAGTCAAGTGCTTCCCGGAAACAAATAATCAAAGGGGGGATTTTGTTTAACAAAAGTAATTAATTAAGTCTAAGTAAATAAGTAGCTAGTTCAAATATTTGATGTTTATCAAGTGATGAGAGAAACTAGGGTGTGAGTGTTCTCCATAGATTCATAACACAATATAACAACTCTTTCCTACTATCTTGCGTGCAAAGTGGTAAGTTATGTATCCCTAATTCCTTGGTCCGACAACTAGTGAATTTCACTCCGCACCTTGGTCCCGCTACGTGTGTGTACTTTACTAAACCTTACCTTTTACTGCATATTAAGCATCACAATCGATGTATGACTTAGTTATTACTTCGCACCAATCGACACTAGCCTGTTAGATAGTGTATACTAAATCTACATTGATAATTCTTTTCTTATTATCTATCTTCTTGGTCCGTCAAGTAACAACAAGGCAAGTTCTAACGTTGTCCACCGTTAAAAAGACTTCTAAATGAAAAAATTATCAATACATGTAAGACACTATTCTAGAATTGTTATTTTAGCTAGTTCTACTTTGTTTATTACCCATGGTTCCCACAACCCTAATTGTGGATTTAGTTACCTATATTGAGAATTACACAATTCATATTGATTAGACAAGAATTCATGTACTTACTTTAACATGTTTGAAGAAAATCCAGAAAATCACTTGAATTAATCAAAATATTGTGAGAATCAATTCCAGAAAAGTGAAGTATTTTCCAAAATCCAAAATTTAACAACCAACAATACAAATCTGAAAATTAACAAAGAATCCAACCACAAAAACGAGGTTTTTAGTCCAATTTATAATAAAAGAGTCCTAAAAATAAAGGGAAACCCAAATTGGAAAACTTCTTTACAAAACGCGTCTCCAGTCGACGACTTCACCGACGGACCGTCGAGGGAACGACGAATCGTTGACACCTCTGTCGGTCCATACTTCGACTCTTTTTCAGCTGCTATCTTTTCTATCATTTTGTTACCATCGACGGACCCAAACAACGGTCCGTCAATGCACCTACGATACACCGATGGACGTCGTTGCTCCATACTTAGAATCTTTTCAAAATCAGGTACTGGGGCTACATTCTGTTAACACCAACAGTTTGCCAGGATGGTTCGTCGATGAGACGACGGACCGTCATACCTCCCGTAGCCCCACACTTAGTCAGAATTCCCCGATCTTTCCTTAGAATCATAAATTTTCAAACTACGGTGGTCACCTAAGGACCGTCGATGAGTCGACGGACCGTCGATGGCTTCGTAGGTCATCACTTCGGCAAATTTCAGCACAATCTTTAGCATTTTTGTTCTTGACAATTTTCCTGCAAACACAGAGAAAAATACATTAAAACTACTTCAAAGAAGCCTTAGACACACACTAAACTTATGGAGAAAATATTGAAAGTATAGTGAAACCACGGTACATCAACACCCTCAACTTAAATTTGTTGTTTGTCCTCAAGCGACGCACTATGACTCACCACAAAAACCTTTGTACAAAAGTATCCTTATTTAGATTTCGTAATCATCTGGCTATCAATTTTGATTCTTTTCAATATCTTCATGCATGATATCACTATTAGGCTCTCTCATGTGGATCAGACCATGACACAGACTCACCACGCACCGACACCTCTCTCTTTTATC